TTTTCTCGAGTTATCGTGTACACGAACAGACAGACGGACGGACAGACATGGCTTAATCGATTTCTCTTTTCATTCTGATCATTTATGTATGTATACATTTGTCTATATCTATGTATATCGACTCGTTTTGGCTGTTACAAACAACCGTTATGTGAACAAAGTTATGATAATACCCTTGTGCACAAATGCGCTTGGATATAAAAATATTTCTTGTGATTTTTCTTGAGAGCTGGATTCTAAGGTTTAAGATACAGTTTGTATTTGACGTTATTCGCTTTAGATGGTTTGAACCGCGAAACCCACCCCTTGTGTGCGCTAATGCGTTGAATATATGAGTCCGAAATTTTGTCCACATGTTTGTATTAACGTTGTATATTGTCAACTGAAATGCAAAAAGACGTAACAACATCGCAAATGAAATGGAAAAAGTCGTGACTAATATTTTTATTTATTTCTTAAAATGATGTGGAGAGTTGTAATTCGATGACATTCATCATATAAATTAAAAAGTGAATTTTGAATTTTTTGTTGGTTATGACTTTTTGCATTTCAGCGATGATGTTTGTTACGTCTTTTTGCATTTCAGGTGACGATATGAACTCCAAAAAAATGGACGTAATCGATTTATTTTAAAGCAAACCTCCCACACAAACCTAACCTCAAAAATGCCCTAAAAACCACACCAATGAATATATGAGTCCGAAATTCAAAAAGTGGGCGTAATCGGTTTATTTTAACTCATACCTATTTACTCTGTATAATACCAATTTCGGACAAAGTTACATCCCAGCTAGCAAGATTGTAAATCTGTATGATTTTGGCCGATATCGGTAGAGAAACGTATGGAGAGGTTGACAGGAAGTCTAATCGACACGACGTGGGAAATTCTGACTTAATTACCGACGATTCTGACGTGTTTCTAACAGATGTCTGACCAAATAATCATGGAAAATAAGAATTATCAGACGTGTATACCCGAAATCGGCCATAATTCGATCAGACATATCGGATAAAGAAATAAATAAAATTCTCCAGATATTTCGCCCAGAAATCTGTACGAAACCTCTAAGACTTGCCTAAATAGTCAACTTTTTATTCCGACTTGTCTGATATCAGACATTGTCTGGCAAATGTGATAGCTGGGAATGAATTTTTCTTAGGCAAATATCACTTTGTTAGGCTAAACCATTCAAATATAAAAATTTAATATAAAAAAATTTTATTTTTTCACCTGAAATACCACTGTGCGGCATTAAGGCTGGGTTCTTCAAATAAAAAACAGGATTCAGAGACACAAATATGTATATACATATGTACATAGTATGTGTTTACATACGTGCACACATGGCAACGGATGTGACATCGTACTCAACGCTGCTTCATAGGATTTGGGGTGTTTGCACAGACAGGATCAAGTTGGGGCATACTTCATGAAAAAGCCATTAGTGTCGAAATATTTTGTTTTTGGAAGACTTGGCGATTAGCAAGTTTAGCAACAGTTTTAAGATGAAAATCACCATGAACCGTAATACTTTTTTGTTACCGTATACACGTCTGTAATTAGTAGCAAGAGAAAGCATTTTGAATAAAATTTTTAAATTTTTATTTTAATTTAGGATATATGCATACATAAATACTAGTAGAGCATCTAAAATATAAAATACTAGATTGCCCTCACCCGCTTCGCTGAGTGTATGAAATTTCTACGTGCTACATTGAGTAAAATTTATTTCAAGAAAACTCAATTAAAAAACTTAAAAAAAGAAGTCTGATGAGGAGATGTGGTGATCTCCGAAATAGCTGCTATAACTTCTACCGCTTAGACCTTGTTGCTTTTTCAATTTTTCCTAATAAACAATCGTGGTACAAAGCTCAATAAAAATATTAAAAATAAAATGTTAATAAGCCACAATAACATTGGCAAAAAACAAGAGGTTTAAAATTTGTTTAACCATCTTCAAAATATTTTCAAACAAAAACTTTCTTAAACTTCTCACTTTTCATACTTTTTAAATTAACTTATCCCCTGCACTCAATATGAGATTTTAAACAGATGGAAACCTCTTACATGTAGTTTTGAAATAAAGCCCATTAAAATCATTCCGATTGATAAACATATTGTAATAATTCATTTAAATTATTGAATAGTTTGAATTTAACCTTTTAAACAGTTGACAACCTTTTTAAACCTCTTTCGTCTGACACTCGTATTCAAAATCATTTCGATTCATACCAATCTTCTATAATCTATAATCTATAACAATATATATTTTGAAAGACGGAGGGCGAGGCACCTCCTATACAAACCGATTTTTTCTTACTGTATATCTCTCGAAGTGTTCATGGTAGAATACCGGAACTTGGTACCGCAATATATGAAATAAATCTCATACTCATGGAAAAAAATGGTGAGTGACATCCTCCTAAATGCCCGGACCGATTTTAACGAAGTTGTTTGTGTACTTTTGAGTGTAGTTTTACAATTTCACCCGCAAGTTGGCGCTGGAGTTCAGTTATTACTAAAAATCTTATTTATGATAATATTCAAAATATGTATTGGCAATACTATTGCCAGAAAAGGCTGCCTAGTGGCGCTGGAGTCATTACGAATAATCGCCAAGTTAGAAAAGGTGCCGTGGACAGTGTTGCCGTTTTAGCCCTTTGGTGGCTAGATTTAGCTACCACATACTTTTTTTGGCCACATAAATTTAAATTTAGCGCTTTGGAGAATTTATTCATACTTCGCATGAAAAAATTGTATATGCTTAATTTGATCTAATTTTTTTTCATTTGTGTAAGAAATGAATTTTTAACCAAGAACGACTGATATCTTATACATAAAAATAAGTGAACGTTTTTGGTGTGATCATATAACTTGAGAACGGCTTCACCGAATTCAACCAAATTTATGCGGCATATTCGGGCTATCATGCAGATAGTTTACGTGAAGTTTGCTTGAATTCGGAAAAGGGGGCGTGGCGCCTCTATTTTATATATAAAAATTAGTGAGTTAGCTTATAACTTGAGAACGGCTTCACCGAATTCAACCAAATTTTTACGGCATATTTAGGCTATCATGCAGATGGTTTATGTGAAGTTTGCCCGAATTCGTAAAAGGGGGTGTGGCACCTCCCATACTAACTAAAATTTGTATGTTGTATATCTCTTGAAATATTTGTGGTAGAGTACTGGAAGTTGGTATAGAGGTATATCAAATAATTCCATACTCATGGAGAAAAATGTGCGGTATTGGGAAAGGGGGGCGTGGCACCTCCCATCTTAATAAAAAAATAAGTACGAAATTCTCAACCAAATTTAATACGGATATCGGGCTATTATGCAGATGGTTATGTGTAAGTGGGTTCCCCGAAGTCGGTCCAGCGGTTCACGATATATGACAGTTTATGTCTGTCACATGAACCACGTATATGGTACAACAGCACATACATGAAAAATCGAAACATAGTGAAAAATTGTTGCTATAATGTGCTGTGCTTATTTTTTCTTCGGATAAATTAAGTCAAATATAAACATGGCTGCAAGTTTTTCAATAGGGATTTTGTAGAGCCAATGGAATGAAAGTCACCACAACACAACCAGGGGCGCACCCAGGAATATATTTTAGGGGGGTTTTATATTTCTGAAGATATATCACCGGAAAATACTGAAAATTTGCTTCAGATAATACCCTCTTTAAAATACATTTATGCAAGTTTTATGTACAGTATGTAATATATAAATAAACGTTTTAAAATTCATAAACTGCACTTTATTTACAGATTAACAGAACTCAAACGCTTTTAACCGACTTCAAAAAAAAGGGAGGTTATCATCTCGCCGGAATACATAACTTTGGACCACGTGAGCCGTTTTCAATAATCCTTTTTTTATTAGAAAGATAGTACCTCAAGGTCCCGTAATTTGTTTTAGAGATCCGATGATTGGATCATGAAGAAATTAACGGTACCCCTAAATTTGAATATGAGAATTGAAGTCGGTTTGTGTTCTTTCCTTAAAAACTACTTGCTTAATAAAAAGTTCTATAAACTCAAGATGCGCCCAACTTTCAAAAGTACCTAATAAAAAATTTAAAAAAAGGGTCAGTAAAAATAAATTTATTGATTCCATGAATTTTTGCACTTCTATGTTCATTTTTTCGATTTCTGGTTTTCGATAGATATGGTGATTTTTCACGATTGCTAAATTTTAGATATTAAAGATTAACTGAACTCTCAAGAAAAACGAAAAATTCATATAAAACGACGGGCGAGAAATGGAAAAGAAATTTTCTTCTAGCAAAATTTCTTAAATCAGTTTGCAGCTCTCAAAAAAAAAAATGCTCGTATATTTATTCCCTCATGAAAATTTACAGCAAAAGCAAAGCGCGTTTTCAAGCAACAGAAATTATAATAAATATTTCTTATAATTTCCTTGAGAGCTGGATTCTTAGCTTTAAGATACAGATTGTATTTGAGGTTATTAGCTTTAGGGGGGGTGTGAACCCCAAAACCCACCCCTTGTGTGCGCTAATGAACACAACATATCTGTCATTTCATCGTATTATCGAAAAGGTGGTGTACATTGATATTCGGTCTTTCTATTTTGGACTTTGGAGAATCAACACGTGTGTTTAATATTCTTAATTCATATTTCATTTTATTTTTTTTCGTCAATTTCAATATTTTTGCACAAATTTGTTGCAGCGAATCGTACGAAAAGTTTGAGTACACTGGAAATTTTCCATGCAGGTATTTTTCCTCATTGATTTATAGTGAACAAAACCATTGTGGAAAATTGTGGCTGTGTTGTGTTCTTTGGCTTTGAATGAAGTTTTTTCAAGTGGTCTTTTACTGTCGATTGTGAATTTCATTGAGTTTTTCGTTCGCTATTGAATAAAATACCACGATCCAGTCGTTCAAATATAGGCCGACGTACGCGTCTTGCGAACATGATGCTATCGCAAAGAAGATCGCAAAATGTTGAGGAGCACTCCCAACAAAATGAAGTACGAAGTGGTATGCGCAGAATACAGCTGTAGAATCACAGCGTCCAAGAAATCCACCACGAGCCAGTCGTTAAAATATAGGTCGACGTGCGCGTCATGCGAACATGATGTTAACGCAAAGAAGATCGCAAAATGTTGAGGAGCACTTCCAACAAAAGGAAGTACGGCGTGCAGGATTTTTCATTAATTTTTCAATATTTTTCAATATTTGGTGTAGAGAAGCACACCGGGGTACCGCTAGTATATTCATAAATGTATTGTAGGTTTCTTACATTTTTATACATACACACTGTAAAAGTGTTAGGCCTGTTAACTTATCTATTAACGATTTAACTATAGTTTAAAATAGATAAGTTTACGGCCCTTAGGGCCAGCTGTTCAGTGCCAGTTTAAACTCAGATTAAGGAAACTGAGTTAATTTACGCTCGCTAAATTGAACAGCTGGCTGACATTTGATTGGCTGATCTTAGTTTAAACCAGCCAGATCGGGCGTTTAAACTTAGTGTAAACCACGGCCGGGCACTGAAAAACTGGCCCTTAATATGGTTAATTTGTTAAATGGCTTATCAAGGTGATTGACCGTGTATGTTCTTGTGGTGTGATTGTACCAGCTGCTAGTGCGACTTCAAAAACTATTTGAAAATTTTATGATTGTCTGGGTGGTGAAATTAGCTCAATTTTCTAAGTAAAAAATATTTTGGCGGAAATTTCTTGCACTATATGAGTCAAGGCCATGTTTGTGGAATATTAAGTTCACGATATTGCAGTTTTGAATTAAAATAAAAAACAATGTTTAACAAAATGATAGAAAAATTATGAATTTTCGGCTCTTAATTATTTCGATCTTTCCTCGACCTCAGTTCTAACGAAAGAAATATTGTACCAGCATGCTGGTAAGTTATATGTTTCGAGCCTGATGGCACAAACACTTGATAGAGCCAGCATGCTGGTGTCGTATATTTCCCCTTTTGTACAAAAAGGTTTTGGTTGGATAAAATATTTGCTTTTTTAAAGAGTTCATTGTTTTTCTATACCATTACTTATTGAAAATGTTTACGTGTATACTTTTATATGTATATGTAAGTAAACAATTTTAGCTAAAATTTTTAGCCACAAAGACTTTTTTAGCTCTTTTTTAGCCCTTTTTTAAAGGAATTTGGCTACCACTAAAAATGATTCGCGGCAACACTGGCCGTGGATGGCATTTTAATTCGACCTGTTGCACCAATGAGTATATCGAACTTTTGTGTGTTTCTATTGGCCCAGTGGATGTGATTTGCCAGTATTATTATGCGTTAAAGCTTCATTCCGAGACACCAGGGTTGAGTTGTGCAGGGGTAAATCTCAAATCACCACCGATAAATCAAACGCCATTGCGCGCCTTTTACTGTAATACTTAATTTGTAATAATTGAATTTAATTTTTAAAAAGTTGGCAACCCTTGGGAAAGGCTAAAATATTATTTAAATTTTTAAACTAAACTTTTCTTAGCAATATTTCGTTAGACAACCATATTTTTATTATTGAGATTGCTTGCATATAATTAATTTAAATTTGGCTTTTCAAACAGGTGGCAACCCTTTTCAAAATATATTCGAACTACAGCTTTTAAGCTTCTTGACATCCATTTTTAATATAATTTTAAAATAAATAACTCCCTTAATTACAGTTGAATTTGATTTTTTTAAAAGGTGGCTGCTCTCATCCATGAGTAAATAATGATTTTATATATCTCCACACCAAGTTCCAGTAATCTATCAAAAATATTTCCTGAGAAATGCAGTATGAAATATTCTGTTTCTATGGGAGGTGCCACGCCCCCTGGTCTAATCGAGATTAAATTTATCCTATATTTTAAATTTGGCTAAATGACAACAGTGTACAAAATTTTATGATGATCGGTTGAGTAGTTAAAGCGTGAAAGCGTAGCAAACAAACAAACTTACTTTCGGATTTATTATATATAATAATAATAATAATAATAATAATAATAATAATAATAATAATAATAATAATAGCAATAATAATAATAATAATAATAATAAAAATAATAATAATAATAATAATATATAATATAATAATATTAAGTAAGGATAAATTTTTATGACCGCAAATGTATTTTCAATCATTTAACATGTGTGTCAAATTTGAAGTTCAAGGCCAAGATATTTTTTTTATCCAATGAGTTAAAGAAATTAGTATTTACCGTTTTCAAAGACAAATAAAAACCAAACTACTTAATGCAGAGTTTAACTATCTACATTTTTGTGGTGGCAAAATCATTATTTTTCTTTCAAAATGAAAGTATGTGAAAGTGAATGATAGCACGGGTTTTTATTTTATATGCCGAATCAAAGGAAACCGTTAATATTTTATGTGTTCCTTCGCCTTCGCGTGCATCTTAAAAATTGTGATTTCATAGTAAAATTTGGTATATTTGGCTAAATTATTTTCCAGCTTTGGTTTTGCCAGTGCATAAATTATTTTTTGTTAAAAAGACTCCCAGAAAACCCATTTATGATTGGTATAATTTTTTTGTAATCAAAATAATTTGTTGGGACATCGCAGACTCTTGGTTGCCTGTGACTTGATTGGTTGCTAAATAGATTGTGTGCTAATTCCTAGACATTTTCAATAATATTATTTTCTTAATTTTAACTCAAATTTAAGTTTAATATCACGCTCTTTAGTTTTCTGTGAATAGATTTACATACTAAGATGGCGGCGCAAATGACAAAATCTAGAAGGACTAAGGGCGCATGGGTTTTGGCGGCCCCTTGAATTTTTTTAATTCAAATAGAACTCTAAACTAAACACCTGTGCGCTGTACCATTTTATGATATGTGGGCCTGGGCGTGGCCACCCAATAATTATGTTTATCTAAGCTAGTTTAAAATAGCTTTAATATTTCACTTCTTTAAAAAATTAAAAAAATAGTAAAGAAGTGAGGGTATATGTAATTAAGCGATTTGTAAAAAAGAGATTCTGCGAAATAGAACAATTGCGCTATTTTTTATACCTACCTACCTAGCTACATGCATACAAAAATTAATTAAAATATCTACATACCCATATGCGCATACAGGCATACAAGAACTTGAGAAAAAATCATTACATCAAAAAATATATACAACTAATTTCTCAAACAAATAATGTGCATACTTCAGTATCTAACCTGTGTGATTTCGTTGTTTAGCCCCAACAAAAGCTCCTGCCAATTAAGAATTCAGACACACAAAAAAGCAGCAAAAGCTGATTAATTTACAATTCAATTCGACCTTCAGTGAAGTGCAAAAACTAAGTGAAGAAAAACTGTAACTGTACTAATTTGTATACAAATTTGCAAAATTTCCTGTAAAGTGGATAACGCGTTCGCCGTCGTTAAGCTTACGGCCCGCTCCAATATAACAACCATTGACGCTGTTGAGGGCGACGGCGACGTTGGCGATTACAATAATCACCAACAACTCGATCTACAACTACATTCAACAGCAACAACACAGCAGGAGCCAAACTCACCGCCGCCTCAAACTGAGCAACTACGACAGGAACTGGAACTGGAACAACAACAGCAGCAGCAGCAGGAGCGGCAATTTGCCACAACAGCCTTGCCATCCATTTATGAGCATCAGCCGCTAGGCGTATCATCTCATCCCGACCATCAGCAACAGCATCAGGAGCAAAAATTTTACAATCATTTCTATACGCATGACGATTTCGCACAAACCCTCTATCAACATAAGCAACAACAGCAGCAGCAACAGCCATATAGAACACAATCATACGAGCAGAATCAACAATATCAGCATTATACATATTATCGACATCAGCAACAAGCAACACAACATCAACAACTAAAATTACTCGAAATGTTTGCCCTGCAACCAACACCACCCATGGGCGCCGTTATTTCGCCCTGGTCGGGCACCATGATCGACCGAATACCGACGCTCGATGACATGCCGCATAAAGGTAATGAATTCTATACAATAACAGTAAATTAACATAATCCATCCATCGTAATTCGATTTATCGTTAAATTTCAAGAAAGATAGAAGAGAAGATTGCGTCGTGAGTCTGAGCGAAACCGTCTGAACGAAACGGCAGTGATGGTACATACTTTTTTGCAGAATTCCCATTCAACAAAAATAAAATCTCCACTTTTCCCTACGCGTTTAAAAATGTTTCCCCACAAAATTCCCTACAATTTTTATCTAATAATTCCATATCGATAGCTGAGTGGAAGATCGACCTATCTCGACAGCCAGTTCGAAAACGCTCTATCTCAAAAAACTTTTTAAGAACGCCCTATTTCAGAATTCGTTTCAAAAACGCCCTATCTCAGCTGCCGATTCAAAAACGCCCTATATCAGCATATTTTCAATACATTTTGAAGTGAGATAGGGCGTTTTTGAACCGAATTTTGGGATAGGGTGTTTTTCAATTAAATTCTGAAATAGGGCGTCTTGAAAAGTTTTTTGAGATAGAGCGTTTTCGAACTGGCTGCCGAGATAGGTCGATCTTCCACTCAGCCATCGATATAACATTATAAGAAGACCGAGAAAAATTTTTATTATAAGTTGTGTTGTATGTGTACATATCGATGCACAGTGTATCGTGTGGAACAAGATAGGTGGACAAAATTCATTCAAGGATTTCTATAAAAAGGTCTCTGCGTGGCTTCGGCTTGCCAGTAGTTATAACCTAACCTAACCTTCTATAAAAGGGTATCTTACTAACTTAAAAGATATGGAAATTGTTTCGCGTATTTTTCACAAATATGTGTTATTGTATAGCTGCGGGGCCTTTACCAAATTAAAGGCCAGACTTGTTACTATAAACCAAGGGGAACCTAGTCATTATACGACGACAACTGTTCGATTTACAACAAAATGGCTGTAAAACAAATGAACTAAAATACACCTTTGTTTCTTAAAAAATATAACTCACCAGTAGGCGTAAACAAAAGCACACCGGACTATGTTTTTCCCATTTGCGCATACTCGAAGCGTCCATAAATTTTTCCTGTGCTGATGGAAAATATACCGATTCCAATTTCAGCAACCGAAACATTTTGCAAAATTCGGAATAATTCCCACACAAGAACCAATCTGAAAAAACGTATGCTATATGGGAAACCAACATCTTAAATATAACTTAAAACGATCCGTAAATAATTTTGTCCACAACTAAAAAAGAACTTAATCCGGGCTCATGTCGCTAATTTTTGTCTAATCCACGTCTAAACTTTACAACTTACATTAATAATCCATACATCTTACTTTTAGAGCTGTCAAACAATCGATAGTCAAGTCCATCGATGTTTTACGATAGTCTTAAGGGTGACTATCGATACTATCGATAGCATCGACCCATTTCATATGTTTTTCTAAATTCATTTATTTTTCGTTATATTGCTTTTATAAATTTGTATATTTTAGCGGCTCACGGTTGCATTTTAGTATCGAGAAATATTGCTAGAAATTCATTCGCCGTGTAAAAAGTCTAAAAGCGATTTCTGAAATTTTCCCTGCCTTTCGCCTTTCGGAAATATATTGCATTGGCACGTCTGACACGCTCTTAAGACGGCAATGTAATTTCTGGTATTTCCACGCTTAAAATAAAAAATGGCGCTTTTAGAAATAATGCCATGAACCAACTAAACAAATCGCCCAGCACGGCAACCATGTGTTTGTAATTGCATTTGAGAAACAAAAATAATAGTTGATAACGTCATTTTTTAGTCGGCTGTTTCATTCACACGCATGGTTTCATTCCGTTTCATTCACATGGCGGCAAAAAAATTACGTCACTGCAAAAAAAATACTTTTTCTCGCGCTCCGTCCTGGATGATCTTTATTCGTACGTTCATGAAATAATGCTGCCAAGTTTTGTTCTCTTTGAACCAATACGTGCAAATGTCAAAAGCGCTAGGAAAGAGAATACGCTATTAATGAAACGATAGTGGCGATAGTACCAGAACTATCGATAGTTATTTCATGTGACCAGACTATCGATACTATCGATAGTATCGTCGATAGTTTGACAGCTCTACTTACTTTAGTTAGGATTACACAAGGATTATAGACATCCCTTAACAGGACTGAGGTTTTTTTGCTTTGAGTTGTGCCGCTTTTCCACAGGACCACATCATTATATGCAGGGAACTGTGGGACTCGGTGGCTTCTACTGATCGTAGAGACTTCTAAAATAAAATACTAGTCCAACTATGGGCCAAAACCACTACTTTGGAAGTCAAAAAATGAAATGAATTCGTGAATATACAATAAAAAACTTTTGATTAAGTACACTTTAATACATTACACATTTTCATATAGCAGCCTTAGATTTGCCAATAACTAGTGTTACATTTTTTGAGTATTAATTAAAAGGAAAAGTAAATGCATAAGAATTTCACACATTCGAATTTAAATGCATTTTCCATTAAATGATATTAAAAGTAAAAGCTTTCAGGTACAATAAATACTATATTTTTATCTTTTTAATAATATTGAATATGTAAAAGAAAACATTTTAGTTAAAAATAAAATGAATACTTTAGTTCATTTATGAGTGAAGTAAAACAAAAATAAAAGTTTTCATTAAAATAAATTAAATTCATTAAATTTGTACATTTCAGTCCTTTCTTTTTAAAGTTTTTTAAATGTAATAATTAATGTTTAAAATTTGAGATTTGGATAAGAATAAAACAAATAAATAATTCAAGCAGTTATTACAGGGGTGGGCAAGGCCGAGGCCGATTTTATTTTTATGAGAAGCTGTTTTTCATGGCAGAAATACACTCGGTGGTTTGCCATTGCCTGCCGAGAGACGACCGCTGTTAAGAAAAAACCTTTTTCTATATTTTTTTGCGATGTAGTTTTTATAACTTTCAATAATTATCAGGTACGCGAATATATGTAACTAATTGTGAAGAGTACAAAGACTCACACTTACGCTACGCGCACACTGCAGCCGGCATCGGCCGAATTGTGCTCGGCCGATATCGGCTATATGCGGGCGATATCAATAAACACTTGTGATTATATGAGCGCTTTCACACGTAGACCGATAACCGAACCGACATCGGCCGTTGACTTCCGTCAGTGATGATAAATTCAAACATGTTTGTTTTTCTCTTCCGATGTCAGGTGAAAAGTACCAAAATAGACTGCGAAAAATTAAATTATTGGGTGCAAAACAAAAAAAAAAAACCTATAAAATCACATGTTCAATTAAAATTTATCAAAATATTTCACTGCCTACAGAATTGAAATGAAAACTAGATTTGTGCGTACAAATACGGTCGGCAAATAATCTGGTTAAGGGTGCGCATCAGTTCGGCCGGTCAAATTGTTCGGCCGAAATCGGTCGGCCTATCGGATGCAATGTGCGCCTAGTGTTGTACGTTGTACCAAAAATTACGGCACACAGCTGTTTTCAACAGGTGTTTTTTTTTTTTATCTGGTACTTGTTGCCGGAATTCAAGCAATGCACTATGGTTTGGCGACTACTATTGATGGCCAATAGTCCAGAAGTAACCAAATTGATTTGAAACTCGGTATTTGGGGGTTTTTGTTGTCGCTGATTTCGAATCTGATGTCAGATTTTTTAAATTCAAAATGGTGGATCCAATATGGCGACCAAATTTTATAATTTTCTCCTGCTTACCACAAACTCATATAAAGGCGGGGTTCTTGAGGTCGCTGATTTTGAATCTGAAAAGGTTCGAACAAAAAATGCAAAAATGCATTTTTCACCTATTTACTTGCATATACTTCTTTCTCTTTCCTTGAAGTCGGTGTAATATTCTTCAGAGAGCACTGCTTTAATAACATTTTGTAGCAAAAAGTTTAGATCGGCGGTTTTTTGGCATCTTAGCTGACTGCTTCTTTTCAAATATATATCGAAAAGTACGGCAAAATTTAGGTAGAAGTTTTCTAAGAAAAAAGCCCATTATTCAAAAAATGCAAGCAAGTGCAACATGATTCTCACCCACAAACTCTAAATTAAAAATTTTCCTTGCCCACAAAGTTTAAAGACCGCTAAATGAAGCCAATTTTTTATAGCTCTATTTAAAGTGGGATATTATTGCCCAAATTAGAGTCCATTTTGAAAATTAATTTTATTTTATTTAGCAAGCTATATTCTAGCTTTGCTTTTGTTAATAAAACAAATATTACCTACATTATACTTTTCCATTATATTTTTTGAAGTATCTTTATCACTCCAAGACTTATTCCAATTCGAACTACAAGAATGCTGGCCACGAAAATTGTTTTTTTTTTTTACTTTTTGTAGAAATGTAAACTTTAACAGCTGATATCTCAATTGCAAAGCTTTTTTACTCCAGCGAATTTATTTAGTGAAGTGACGAAAATCATACAAATTATCGATACTTTAAAAAATGACTTTTGGCCAGAAAATAGTAGCTGCCAGACCATAGAGCAATGGCAAAGCTCTGTGTTGCATTTCCAATGCCTTATCTTCTTTTAATTCCAAAACCTCCAACTCTTCTTCGCTTTTCTTAAAAAGGAGTATTTCGGATATTGTAAATTTATCCTCAATTATCTATATATAAAAATGTGATTGTCTGTTTGTTTATTACTTTATAACTTCTGAACCCCGGCACGGAATCGCACACTTATTTGCTTTTACCCCGGGAAGGTTATAGGCATAGAGAAAAATGGACAGTACTGGAAAAGAGGGCGTGGCACCTCCTATACTAACTAAAATTTTAATGTTGTATATGTCTTGAAATATTTGTGGTAGAGCATTGTAACTTGCTGTTGAGATAAATAAAATTAATTCCATACTCATGGGAAAATATGGGCGATATTGGAAAAGGGGGCGTGGCA